CAAAAAATTTTCTAGCGAAATATGCAAAACAACCTGTAAAAATGAAGATTAGATGTTCTCTTTTATAATTCATATGCATTTAAGAGGATAAATTGATCATCGAGCAAAGTTATGACCCTTGGGATGGCGATTCAAAAATTTCATCAAACAAAAAATTGCGTAGCCTTCCTTTGGGCAATATCTCAGGAATTTTTTGAGGTAAATACACAAAACCTTTTGTAAAAATGAAGATTATATGTTCTTTTTTATAAATCATATGCATTTGATTGAATAAATTGATCATCGGACAAAGTTATGACCCTTGAGATGGCGATTCGAAAATTATGTTAAACAAAAAATTGCGTTTGCTTCCTTTGGGCAATATCTCAGAAATTTTTGAAGGTAGGTATGCAAAACCTTCTATGAGAATGAAGATTAAATGTTCGTCTTCTAAAATAATATTAGTTTGTCCAGATAAACTAATCTCAGAGATAAGTTATCACCCTTAGAATGGGGACCGAAAATTAAAAATGTTAGAAAATTTGTTCCAACGTTTCCTGTTCCATATCTCAGAAATTTGAGGAGCTATATCTACCGACCTTTCGCTGAAAATAAAGTTTCGATGCTTGCCATCTTAAATGAAATGAGTTTGGTTAAAAATTCGCACTTAAAATCAAAACTATGGCCTCTTGTCTTCGTACGCAAAAATTATATTTTTTACTATTTTTGATAGATTGTTTCTGGCTATATCTCCGAGATTTTTTGCATTATATAAATGCAAATAGCATTGAAAACAATGTTTAGGTAGTCCTCCGTAAGAATCTAGCGAAATTGTCCAGATAAAATGAAAGAAAAATAAGAAAATGACCCTTGAAAGTGGATAACAAATTTTATATATTTTTAGAAAAAAGTTTATAATATTTTTGTTGATATCTCCGATAGTTTTAATGTTATAGGCATGGAACTTTGTGTGAAAATAAAAATTAAAACTTTTACTTTGATAATTAGCAAAAATTGACCGGTAGACATGAACGAAAAATGAAGAAATGACCCATAAAAAGCCAACACTGATATATATTTTTTGAAACTATAAAAAATTACTCTTCTTGGTTGTATCTCTGGTATTAGTTGAGTTTTAGACACATATCTTTCAGAAAGTTTGAAGATTGGGTGGTTCCCTATAAAAATTTATTTATGTAGCCGTTTTTTATTTTTATTTTAGAAATTTGTATTAATTTTGCTTTAAAAGTAAAGACCTCTTTCCCTCCTTGGCACTGATATTTCCCCGAGTTTCAAAAAATATATTTCCAATTATATTTCATTGAATTAAAAACTGAAACAGAAATCCTAAATATATTACTATGTGACTAGTCCAATTTTCAAAATTAAAAAAAAAAAAAACTGTTAAGAAAATATGTAGAAAATTGGGGATTATTTGGTCGATAGTGATTTTCAAAAAAAAAAAAAAAATATTAAAAAATTAGCAATTTCTCTGGAATTTTTTGGGGATCAAAGGGGAGGGGTTTCATAATTATTTTAAAGTCGTCTGAGGCCGACTACAATTTTTGTGTATTTTTTTCACAATTTTCCTCTAAATATTTTCATCAAATTTCCTAGCTGAGTTTTTTTTTTTACTCTGTTCTTCACCTTCTAACTTGGTTGTTGTTTTTCTTGTTTCTTTGTTTAAATGTTAATTTAAAATTAACTACTATCGTTATAATTGTTTTTATATATAATTATATTATATTGACTATTAAAAATTAACAATATATATCCTTTTTGTATTTGTAATCAACGTTTTGGGGTTTTTTTCAATTTTTTTCTTTTTAAACTGATTTTTTTTGCTTGGTTTTCTTTTTCATTTTCCATAAAAAATATGATGATGTGGCATCCAATAAATTCGTTTTGTTATCCGTTTTCTTATATATTTTTTTAGTTTATTTTTGTTTTTTTTATTTTGTAACTATTTGGTGGTGGGAGAGGGTCAAGAGGGAGGATGGTCAGGAATAATTGGGAATAATTTGGAGGGGAGTTTTTTGTCAGGATATGAAGAGTTTTCAAAAATTCTCTGTATATATATGTTGTTTGTTGGTTGGTTTGTATGTATGTAATTAACATTTGTTTTGGTTTTACTTGACTTAGATAATTTGTTGTTGTTGTTGTTCTTTGTTTAACAAAAATTAAATTTCAATTTTTCTTTTTTTTTGTTAAGGTAATAATTTAACAGCTCATTTTCATTTTTTCCAAGGAATTCATTTTCCTCCTACATCTTTATATGTATGTATATACTATGTATGTCTGTGTATATGTGTACCTAACATGTGTATGTGTGTACAGTTTTTTTGTATTATAATTTTTGGTACTTGGTTTTCTTTATTGACTTTTTCCAACACTTTTTGTGGTATATTCTTTTATCATCATTTTTCTTCATATTTTTGGTGTTATTTTCTAGTTTTTTCATCTTTCTAAAATATTTGTTCGATTTTCTGTTCTGTTGCTGTTTCTTTTTGTTGTTGTTCTTCTTGATATAATAATAATAATTATAATTTTTATCGTTATGAATTTTTTGCTAATTCTATGTTATTTTAAAGAAAACATTATCTCATAAGTAATATTTAACACAAACACCCGACTCCAGGTGTCGTTTTAGGTGGGAGCTTTGTGAAAATGCTTTACCGCACATAAGGCAGCGGAATTTTTTCTGACCACCACATTCATATCTATGCGTGGAAGAGAGAGAGAGAGAAAGGATATTGGTTGGTGGCTTGGATACATAACAAAAAAAAAAGGTATTCAAATGAACTCCAAAACTGGCAAAGTCAAAGAGAGGGAGAGAGAGAGACGCAAGGAATGAGAGAGCGAGAGAGAATGGAATATGAAATATGTCTTCTAGGTATTCTATACTCCATATAAGACCTGGAGGTCTTTTATACTCCATAGAATAGAAGACCTCCAGGTCTTCTATGGAGTATAGAAGACCTCCAGGTCTTCTATGGATTATAGACGACCTCCAGGTCTTCTATGGAGCATAGAAGACCTCCAAGTCTTCTATGGCCGATAGAAGACCTCCAGGTCTTCTATGGCCTATAGAAGACCTCCAGGTCTTCTAAGGCCTATAGATGGAGGTCTTCTATACTCCATAGAAGACCTGGAGGTCTTCTATACTCCATAGAAGACCTGGAGGTCTTCTATAGTCCACAAAAAGATCTGGAGGTCTTCTATAGTCCATAGAAGACCTGGAGCTCTTCTATAGGCCATAGAAGACCTGGAGCTCTTCTATAGGCCATAGAAGACCTGGAGCTCTTCTATAGTCCATAGAAGACCTGGAGGTCTTCTATAGTCCAAAGAAAACCTGGAGTTCTTCTATAGTCCATAGAAGACCTGGAGGTCTTCTATACTCCATAGAAGACCTGGAGGTCTTCTAAACTCCATAGAAGACCTGGAGGTCTGCTATACTCCATAGAAGACCTGGAGGTCTTCTATACTCCATAGAAGACCTGGAGGTCTTCTATAATCCATAGAAGACCTGGAGGTCTTCTATAGTCCATAGAGGACCTGGAGGTCTTCTTTGGTTCATAGAAGACCTGGTGGTCTTCTATACTCCATAGAAGACCTGGAGGTCTTCTATGATCCATAGATGCCTGGAGGTCTTTTATAGTCCATAGAAGGCCTGGAGGTCTTTTATGGTCCATAGAATTTCTGGAAGTCTTCTATAGTTCATAAAGGACCTGGAGGTATTCTATACTCCACAGAAGGGCTGGAGGTCTTCTATGGTCTATAGAGGACCTGGAGGTCTTCTATGGTACATAGAATACCTGGAGGTCTTCTATGGTCCATAGAATACCTGGAGGTCTTCTATGGTCCATAGAATACCTGGAGGTCTTCTATGGTCCATAGATGCCTGGAGGTCTTCTATTGCCCATAAATGACCTGTTTGACTTCTATGGTCCATAGAGGATTAGAAAGTATTCTATGGTCTTCTATAGTCCATAGAAGACCTGGAGGTCTTCTATAGTCCATAGAAGACTCGGAGGTCTTCTATAGTCCATAGAAGACTTGGAGATCTTCTATAGTCCATAGAAGACTTGGAGATCTTCTATAGTCCATAGAAGACTTGGAGATCTTCTATAGTCCATAGAAGACTTGGAGGTCTTCTATAGTCCATAGAAGACTCGGAGGTCTTCTATAGTCCATAGAAGACTCGGAGGTCTTCTATAATATATTAAAGGCCTGGTCCTGGTCTAGAGTCCATAGAAGACCTGGAGGTCTTCTATAGTCTATAGAAGACCTGGAGGCTTTCTATGAACACAGAAGACCTGTAGGTCTTCTATAGTCCATAGAAGACTCGGAGGTCTTCTATAGTCCATAGAAGACTCGGAGGTCTTCTATAGTCCATAGAAGACTCGGAGGTCTTCTATAGTCCATAGAAGACTCGGAGGTCTTCTATAGTCCATAGAAGACTCGGAGGTCTTCTATAGTCCATAGAAGACTCGGAGGTCTTCTATAGTCCATAGAAGACTCGGAGGTCTTCTATAGTCCATAGATGACTCGGAGGTCTTCTATGGTCCATAGAAGACTCGGAGATCTTCTAAAGTCCATAGAAGTCTCGGAGGTCTTCTATGGTACATAGAATACCTGGAAGTCTTATATGGTCCATAGAGGACCTGGAGGTTTTCTATAGTCCATAGAATTCCTTGGAAGTCTTCTATAGTCCATAGAAGACTCGGAGGTCTCTGGAAGATCTGGAGGTATTATATTGCCCATAGGCGACTTCCAAGGTATTCTGTGGACGAGAGAATACCTCCATAATCTTCTGTGGAAATTTGAAGAATTTTGAAATTATGGATATCATTTTTTAGTCTCTCTCATTCCTGGCCTTGTTCCCTCTCCCCCCACCAAATGACTTTGGTATTCTCCCTAAAAAAAAATTCCCCTAATTTCCTAAGTTTCCTCTCTATTTTCTTTTTCAATTTCGACAAAAATATGACTAAAAAAAATAAAATTTCAAAACTTGGACTCACCTGATATGTCGCTGTAGAGAGCTGGCATCTTTATAGCTTTTTAAACAATTATAGCGTGGACATTGATAGCGACCATCGGCATTGATGAACTTGAATAGATCTGAAAATTTCAACTCATACCAATAGTCACGGATTAGCGATTGTGGAGGCGGAGGTGGCGGTGATGTTTGACAATTCGAGGAGTTGCCCGGATTCGATAGCGATGATGATGAACAGCTGCTGGCACCGCAAGCTAAATTAAAAAAATTATAATAAATAGAGAGAGAGAGAGAGAAAACAAAACAGAGCGCAAACATTCCAAAAACGACAATTGGAGAAAGAGAAAAAAAAAACATATTCATGAAAGTAAAAAAAGAGAGAAAGAGAGAGAGAAAAAACATTTATGAGTAAAAATTGTGGTAGACAAGGAAAAAAATAAATATATATAAAAATAAATGTTTCTTATATTTTAAAAAAATTATATATAGTAATAAATATAATGATAATAATAATATTTTTAAAAATTTTATTTTGTTGTTGCGAAAAAAAGTTTGTATTAAATGCTTGGTTTTTAGTTGTTAAAAAAAATATTGTTGTGGTGTTTTTTTAGCAATGCGTATTTTGGCACTTTTGGGAGATTTTTTTTTTTTTAATTAGAAACAGAAAAAAATTCAATCCAACAAAATAAAATTAAAAAATTAATTTATTTAAATATTTACTAATTAAGTTTGTTTTTTTGAAAAAATGGTTATGATATTTACAGTTACTTGGTTTAGAGATTTTTTAGTGGTGTATTTCATTGTTTTTAGTCGATATGATGGGGCCGAATATTTGCCTGAGTTTTTGCGCTCCCATGGCAACAAGAAGTTTGGCATTTTCTTTTCAGATATATGATAATTGGCAAGCGAGCGAATGGGCGAGCGAGCGTTATGATGATGACAATAATAAAGCTTGGTTGATGATGGTTAGGTGGTTGTTGGTGGTGGTGGTGGTAGTAGTAGTGCTGGGTGCTGGGATTTTTTGTTTAGATATGATTTTGGTTTCTATTGGCTCTACAAATGATGAAGAGTCGACGACGATGATGATGGTGATTTTGAATGGATTGATGGATGGTTAATAAAATGTCTGGATGATGCTGATGATGCCACTGCTGATGATGAATGAAGATGCAGGTTAACCCTCAGAAAAACAAGGAGAGACCCTTCTCTCCTCTCCTCCCCTTTCCCATCTCCTCTCCTAGAACACACAAATTATTAGCACTGCAAAAGAAAAGAGCTCAACAAAACGGAAACATAAAAAAAGCGGAAATCTGAGAATTTTTTTTTTTCAAACAAGTTTACTTCTTCTCGGCGGAATTATTTTTTATGGTTGTATATTTATTAAAAAGTACAAAAAGTATGTATATAAATATATATTATAGGTTATGTATAAAATAGAAAATTATTTTTTTTTGGTTTTGAAATAAATTATATGGGAATGTTATTCAATTTGGGTTTACTCGACGATCTATCGTCAGGTATTACAATAAATTATATAGTTTATAAAATAAGCTTAAAATACAACAACTCAAAAGTTGTTTTGTTTGAGTATTTGAATATTTAAAAGGGGAAATTCAAGTAAAAATAAAACAAAAAAAATCGATTTGGAAATATTTGTCAGAAAATACCAAAAAAAAAATAATTTCGAAATTTTCAAACACGTTTCGAACATTGATATTCTGCAATAAAAGCCCAAAATATATTTAAAAATATTTAAAAATATTTAATTTCATATTAAATTAATGAAAAACGTCAAAAAATCAATTTCGAAATTTTCGAATATATCTCGAAACAATTTCGAACATTGATATACTGCAATAAAAGTTCTAAAAATATTGAAAACCATTTAATTTCATATTAACCTAATGAAAAACGCCAAAAAAATCAACTTCGAAATTTTCGAATTTTCTCGTGACATTTTCGAACATTGATTTTCGGCAATAAAATTCCTAAAAACATTGAAAACCATTTAATTTCATATTAAATTAATGAAAAACTCCAAAAAAAAATCAACTTCGATTTTTTTCGAATATAATTTCGAATGTTTCGAATATAATTTCGAATTTTTCGAAAATCGATTTTTTCCGTAATATGTATAGGAAAACAATAAAAATGTCATTTAACATTGTTTAAAGGTCTTTATAACACAATTTCTTGGTTTTGAATGTAACAAAATTAATTTCGAAAAATAAAAAAAATTTTCGAACATAGATTTTTTTAAGTTGTGCGCGTTTTTAAAACTTTTTATATGACATTGACACAAACTCTTATTCGTTGTGGGCTTAAAAACAATTTTCGTAATTTTTTCCAAAAAAATTAATTTTGAAAATTTCGAAAATTTTCGAATATTGATTTTTTGCATTACAAAGGATTAAAATGCATTAAAAACATTATTTTGCATAACAATTAATGTTTTCAAAATACACATTTCTCGATTTTGAATGTGAAAAATGTAACTTCGAAAAATTATTAAATTTTCGAACATTGATTTTCAAACGAATATCATTATAAAAAAGCACTGTTGGTGATTACTCATGGTAAAATTGGTTATGTATTTGACTTTTTTTATTAATTAGACTCTTTTTAATGCAAAAAAATTCATTTTCGAACATAACTTCGAAATTTTCAAACATTGAATTTTTGCTTTAAATACTATTAAAACATTTACTAAACCACTATACATTGTTAAACATAATATTTGGATATAATCTCCTGCAAAAAATCAAGTTCGAAAAAATGTCAAAATTTTTCGAACACTGATTTTTGAACCAAAATCGTCAGATAATCATTGCAAAAAATTATTTATACCCTAAAATGGCAAATAAATAAATGTAAATTGCAAAAAAGTACATTCGAACATAACTTCAAATTTTTCGAACATTGATTTTTAATTGAAGGTCATCATAAAAAAATACTGCTGGTGATTGCTAATGATAAAACTGGTTATAAATTTCATATTTTTTATAAATTTAACATTTTTAATTGCAAAAATTCACATTCGAACCTAACATTGAAATTTTCGAACATTGAATTTTTTGCTTCAAATATTCTAAAAATACTTATCAAACCATTTTACATTGTTAAACATGACTTGGGATTATAATTTCTTGTATTCTAATTGGAAAAAATCAATTTCGAAAAAAATTTCAAAATTTTTCGAACATTGATTTTTGAACCAAAATCTCCAGATAATCATTGCAAAGAATTATTTATACCCTAAAAAGGTAATCAGGTTAATATAAATTGAAAAAAAAAATTATTTTCGAGCATAACTTCGAATTTTCGAACATTAAATTTTTGATTCAAATATTATTAAAATCCTTATTGAACCACTTTACATTGTAAGACATGACTCAATAATATAATTGAATGTATTTTAATTGGAAAAAAATATCTTCGAAAATATTTCAAAATTTTTCGAACATTGATTTTTGAACTAAAATCACCAGATAATCATTGCAAAGAATTATTTATACCCTAAAAAGGTAATAAAGTTAATTTAAATTGCAAAAAATCATTTTCGAACATAACTTCGAAATTTTCGAATATTGAATTTTTGCTTCAAATATTATTACAATCCTTATTGAACCACTTTACATTGTAAGACATGACTCAAGAATATAATTTAATGTATTTTAACTGCAAAAAATCAATTTCGAAAAAATTTCCAAATTTTTCGAACATTAATTTTTGAACCAAAATCACCAGATAATCATTACAACGACTTATTCATACCCTAAAATGGCAATTAGGTAAATGTAAATTGCAAAAAAAATAATTTTCGAACGAACTTCGAATTTTCGAACATTGAATTTTTGCTTCAAATATTATACAAATAATTATCAACCAATTATACATTCTTACATGTGACTTAAGAATATAATTTAATGTATTTAAATTGCAAAAAATCAATTTCGAAAAAATTTCAAAATTTTTCGAACATTAATTTTTCGACCAAAATCACCACATAATCATTACAAAGACTTATTCATACCCTAAAATGGTAATTTATTTAATTAAAATTGCAAAAAATCATTTTCGAAAATAACTTCGAAATTTTCGAACATTGATTTTTGAACCAAAATCATCAGATAATCGTTACAAAAGCTTATTCATACTCTAAAATGGTAATAAAGTAAATTTAAATTGCAAAAAATCATTTTCGAACATAACTTCGAATTTTTCGAACATTAATTTTTTGATAAAAAAAAAATATTCAAGTGGGAAAATAGTAATTTCTGTAAATATTTTTCCTTGAATTTCCCTTTTAAAATGTATTTTTTTTTCACAAATAAATTAGACAATTATAAATTATATATGTATGTATGTAGTTATGTATATGTATAGTATATATGTTTTACTGTTTTTAACAATATTTGTTTTTTTTTTTTTGTTTCTTAATTCATATCGCAATAGTTGTTGATTTCCTTTTTTTTTTTTTTTTTGTAAATATATATTTTTGGTTAGTATTTTTTCTCTCTTGCTGTAGTTGTTAGCGGCTATATATAAATATAGTTTCGTTTTTTTTTTTTTTGTTCTCCTGTCAGTTATCCTTATTGGCTTCTATGTATATATATCTCTATTCTCTTGGTGAATTGTACTGTTTTCACAGGTTTCATCTTCTTATTTCGTATTTTTTGCTTTGGTTTGTTTTAAAAACTATTTGTTATCACTTAATGAATGCGTTACCGTTTTTATATAGATTTGTATAAAAAATAGATTTGAAAATTCTTTCTTGTTTTCGTTTTTCTTATCTTCTTCTGCTTCTTCTTCTTCTTTCAAAAAGGAACTTACAATTAATATTTTAGTTCAACTTATGAGCTATCAAAAAGAAATTACTTTCAATATTAGTTTGGCAAATTTATTTTCGAGTATTTAAATCTTAAGTTAAATATTTATATATAAAAAAATATATTTTAATTTTAAACGGATTTTTCTTCGATTTCCATTTTTTATTTTTGTTTTATTTATTTATTTTTTATTTTTTTTTTATTTTTTATTTTTTTTATTTATTTTTTTTTTATTTTTTTATTTTTTATTTTTTTATTTATTTATTTTTTATTTAGTTTCTTTTTTTATTTATTTATTTTTTTATTTATTTTTTTTTATTTATTTATTTTATTTATTTTTTTTTTATTTTGTTTCTTTTTTTATTTATTTATTTTATTTTTTTTTATTTTTATATTTTTTATAAAAAAAAAATGGAAATTTTAGAAAATCTGTTTATGAACCTGAGACGACTAGATTTTGTTGTTTTCTCTTTTTTAATATATTTTAATATTTATTTTTTAATAAATTTTATAAGTTTATATTTTTTTCTTTCAAATTTGAAAAATTTTTTGTAGGATTTTTTTTTTTCGAGAAAAACTATACAGGGTGCGATAAAAAACTGCCGCAGTGGTCGAAAAATGTCTCCTGAGCTGAACATATAGCAATATTCCATTCGGCAAATATTGAAAAAAGAGCTCGGGCTAAAGCCATTGAAATTCCAAAAAGTGCAAGAACTTACACCGCAACAGAAAGAAAATAGACTCAAAAGAGCTAAAGAGTTGCTTCGCTTGGCCGAAAGTGGTGAACTGCCGAATTTGGTTTTCTCCGTCTCCGATGAGAAAACATTCGTTGTCCGACAGTTTGTAAACAAACAAAATTCTCTGGAGTGAGTTGGGTAAGTTTGGCAGTGCAATTAAAGAGGTGTAGCATATTGTGCGTGCCTGTATCACACGCCGAGCAGGCGTCACGCACATCTTCATCAATTCGTACCCAATACGAATTGAGACGACTACACTATCCTGAACGTAATTGCGCCAACACTACCCTGGTTTGTCTAGGCAGCTGACGTTCTTTAGCTGCAATGGATGGGGGGTGGACTCCGAGGACGGCATTCATTTTAAAATTGCTAGTAGCATCTGCGACTGCATCGGTATGAATGCAACTCAGAAAGAAGCTTTTCTTGATCTAGAGGTTCTCTCTTGTGGCGTTGGACCTCCCTCTCTAGATGAGGTATGTCCTTCCTGACACACCTGGGTGGGGAAGATTTATCCTCATGTAGATGGTGATGTCATGAGCAGCGTTCTGGCAGGTCTGGATGTGCTTCCACTGCGTAGCACTAGTATTCGCACACTGGTGCCGCATAGCTGACCACAGACCGACCTATCGCGTTATAAGAGGTCAACAAGGTTTCTTGCCGGCCATGGTGATGGTGTGGGCCGTCATAACAGCCGATGGTCGGTCGCTTACCGCTCGTATAGCATCAGAGTAAATTCCGAATATTATTTTGGCCGCAGACCTTGGACATTCCAACAGGACCCAGCACGCGCCACCCATAAAATTGTTACAAAATGAGGTTCCTCGCTTCCTCGCCACCCAAGAATGGTTACAAAATGAGGTTCCTCGCTTCATTTCCAGTGCACAATGGCCACCCAAATTTTCCGGACATCAATCCGTTGGACTATTGGGCCTGGAGTATTTTTGGAAAGCAAGGTTGGCACTCAAAAGAAATACCAAAGTATCGATCACCTCAAAAGCAAGCGCTTCCCCGGAAATGGGCCAAAATACAGCAGAGCAACATTCGGGCAGC